GCAGGAGGTGGGCCAGCATGGGAGAAGGTGGAAGCAGGAGGTGGGCCAATATCTAAGGACGTGGAAGCAGGAGGTGGGCCAGTATGGGAGAAGGTGGACGCAGCAGGCTGGCCAACATCTAAGGACGTTTCTTAGGGAGGTCAACCAGAAGTTTGGGGTTTTCCCCGCCATGTGCCCCCCATCTTGAGCTTACCTTGATGGTGCTCAGATCCATGGGGTGCTTGATGATGTCGCAGTAGTCGTGCAGCCCCAGGGCTTCGACGTCCACGGGCTTGTAGAAGGGCCAGGCGTAGGCRGCRTGCTTCTTGGCGAACATCTCCTTGATGATGCCGCCGCAGTACTTGAGCTGCTCCGACACTTTGCTGCTCTTGTCGGCCRCGTGCTGCTGCTGCGAGTCGGGGACGTCCTTCTTGGGCGGCTTCACGGGGCGGCTGCTCTCCCGCCGCGGGCCCAGCTTGGTGGGCTTGGCGTCGGCGGGCAGCGACGAGGACTCGTGGATGGGGTCCATGGTGGTCGGCGTGGTGGTGTCTGCTTTCCTCTTCACTCCTTTCTTTGTCTGCCAAGAGGGGGCAAAGGGACAAGGTGAGCGCGGAGCGGCCTCGGGAGCCCCCCAAAGGGCTTCCATAAATCCCCTGGGAAAAAAGCTATGGATTATCTCTGTTGACCTGAGAAAGGAGAAGAGCACAAGTCACTCGAGGAAGTTGAGATTCTTCTGGAATCAAGGGAGGCTCAAAAGGGCAAAGACTCCAGAGGGTTTTCCATGCAACCCAAGGGTGAAGCCATCAGAYTCAACGTTGTTGACTCAACAACGGCCACCTCCTTCAAAAGATGACTCCAAATGGTGGCCACAGATCCRTCTGGCTCCCTCAACRGGGAGCACGGGYGGAATGTGGCTCTGTTGACTCAACAGTGGTCGGCCCCTTCAAAAGGCGAYTCCAAATGGTCGCCACGGATCCCCTTGGCTCCTCAATGGGGAACGTGGGCAGAACGTGGCTCTCTTGACTCAACAGTGGCCGCTTCCTTCAAAAGGCAACTCCAGATGGTCACCATTTGGCTCCTCAACGGGGAGCACGGGCGGAATGTGGCTCTGTTGACTCAACAGTGGCCACCCCCTTCAAAAGGCGACTCCAAATGGTCGCCACGGATCCCCTTGGCTCCTCAACGGGGAGCACGGGCGGAATGCGGCTCTGTTGACACAACAGAGGCCACCCCCTTCAAAAGACGACTCCGGTGCCCAACCAAGGAAGGGCGAGCGCGCGACGCCGTGAAGATGCTTAAGGTCAACTCACCTTCACGGGCTGGGCGGGAGTGGGGATGACAGGAGGGTGAGGCTGCATGGGTTGAGGCGCCGGAGCCGGCGGAGCGGGAGCTTGGGGCGCAGGCGGTTGAGGAGGAGCGGGCGGTTGAGGAGGCACCATCGTCATGACCGGCGTCTGCACGATGAGGTCGGGGGTGACGGAAGGGAAGGAATGAGAGGTCTGCACGGGCTGGAGGTTGGGCGGYGGGGCTGGCGTCTGGGCGGGCGACGACGCTTGGGTGGCGTTCTGGACCGTCGACGAGCCCGGTTTGGATGTGACTGTTGGGAGACAGAAAGGAAGCGGTGCCAGCGCTCAACAATTAGCGCCCGTTAACAATTAGCTGGCCATTTAAGATAACGCATCTCCTTAATTAACACTTTGCCCTTTCTTTGCTCGATGGTGGGAGATACCAACATCTCCTTAATGCTCCTTCTAGCTTCTGAAGTGGAAGGATGAAGATACCCAGGATCTACATGCACCAAAACCCCTTGAGATGAAGACCAAGGAGGGGAGCAAAGACCTAATCCTGTCTTCCTTTCATTCTCCAAAGGGATTTCTCAAAGAKTTGGGGCAGGGAGTTGATGGAGAGTCTCCTTTCCAAGTACGGACTGCGTGTGACCATCTCCAGAACATCTCAGAAGAGCTTGAGAGAGATGGGTGGTCAACATCAAGGACCAACATTGCTTAATATTGCCTAAATACCTAAAAAAAGCCATCTTAGGTGTGAGATTGGGTCCCTCTCAGAATTCAAATAGGAGTTGTTGTCTTTTCAAGGGCTCAGCGACCCAAAGTTGAGGCCTTGGGAACTCAACGCACATGACGTCAACAGGAGGGAGAGAGGACCGGTCAAGACGGTGGCAAAACACTCCTATGAACTGAACCACAGCCCTGTAATGGAGAAAGAAGCAACTGCTCAAGAAGCTGGTGCTCAAGAAGGATGAGATCTGGCCAAGAAGCTTCATGAAGCTGAGATGGGGAAGCGAGAGCATCCGTGATTGCAAAGGGGAGGAAGAGAACACAAGGCCGAGGCAAAAGAGGTCAAAATAGGCGGATTTTTGGTCAATGTCTTGGCCAAGACGCTCCAATGGGAGTAACAAATCCCTCCTGCAGAGAAAGGCCAGGACTGTCAATAATTAAGTAGGGAAAAGCTTAATAATTCCAATGTTTCTGTTCCAGATTCAGACTCGTGTCTGGATGAAGCCAATGGAGAAACACTCTCTACTCCAAGAGCAACCAAGAAGGACGTTCAACAACAACTGTTGAGATTGGGTTTATTTTTTCTTTCCCCTTTTACTCAAAAGAAAAACCCAAATTACACCCAAAACCTTAAAAAAAAAGGTTGTAAAGCTCCCTAGGCTTCTTGGTATACCTTGAAATTGTGGAGAATGACCCATTTTTGACCAAAACGCCATCAAGTCCCTYATGGTCCCACCCCTTCCATAAACGATTGGGAATAAAATACATGTGGAAAAGATGGAGATGGTTCATGGAAGAGCTGCAAAGGAGGATTAATGGATTGGAGACCTCCAATAGCAGAGGAGGACTAAGGGATTGGAGACCTTCTAGCAAAAGCATCGCGTTATCATGGGGAACGTGGCCTGGAAAACATGGGATTCTTCAAAATAATGGGGAAGAGACAGGAGTTTTGAGTTCAGAGCAGTGATATCTGGTGAAAACACTCAACAGGGCAACTAGTTGGCAAGTTTCTTCTCAAAAGCAGCAGGAAATCTCCTTTTTTAATATTTTAAGGTCCTCCTGCAAGACGCTCCCCTGAATGCAATGGTATCTGCTACATAGTGGAGAGGGGATTGGAGCAGCTGAGAGCAACAGCCCCTTTTGATCCACTAATTTCCTCATCGAGGAAGAGAGGACTGTAATTTCCTAACTGAAGAAGACAGAATTGAAAGAAGAAGCCAAAATCGCCGTGTTTTGAGGTAYAAACAGGCAAAAATGCAGCATGAAGGTGGGTGTGGACATCAAAGCGTGGTAAAGCTCAAGAGATCTGCTCCGATCTGGGGCGTGTGGCTTCTTTTATGGTCCTTATCTACCCTGAGGTCGTTGGTTGATTCATCAGCTCCTTCAGCGTTCACCTGATTATCTGATATCCAATTAATGATACGCATTTATCGTTATCAGCTTTTTAATGTGGTGGAAAAGCACGAAGCGACGATGTCTCGGTGGTAGCAACAACCCAAAACCTCAACAGGGCTCCACTCCCTGCAAAAATCAACCCCCAACACTCATCCTCACCTCAAAAACAAGGAAAACCCACCCAGAAATCCTGCAAAAGGGAGGATTAAGATTGGGCACTTATATCTTTTACCCAGATAAGAAGTGAAACGTGATGGGAGAGTGAGGAACCTACCTGGATCCTTCCTCGCGCGTCCTCTTCCTTTTGTCTGGGCTATAACAATTTCGGTTTCTTCCTGGGTCATTTCGGAGATTTTCTGCAGGAAAAGCTTTTCTAGAGCTTCTGCCATTAAGACTATGTCATCTCCTGGCTGGAGGGAGAACAGAGAGGAGAAATCAGGCGCGTTTTCCAAGAGCGGATCGTTATCGTCGACGCAAAAACACCAGCAAAATTGCTCGGGTTTCTCTCCATCTAATATCGAGATTAATAATAACTTCAAATTAAATGTGAAATGGAGAAAAAAAAAACATTTTGCACTCCTTTCTATTTCTCAGTTGAGCAATTTCTTTAATTCTGCTTTAAAGCGGGGGTTTTAGCCTTCTTAGCATGGTTGTTTTCCTTGGGATACAACGGGAAGACTGGACGGCTGGAGAGCACTCGTCCTTGGCCAAGGTCCTTGGCCACCCTTGACCAAGATCACTGGGTGAGGTGTTATTCATGGGTTGGTTTTTGAAGGCAAGGAGGGCGGAAAAAAAAGGAAAAAGGGGAAAAATAAATAATGGGAAGTTGTCGTCTTCCCATTCTTTATTTTTCCCTCCTTTCCTTTACTCCTTGATGTCTACGTTGGCCAACGGAGACGTCAAGGAGTAAAGGAAAGGAGGGAAAATGGGAAGACGACGACTCCCAGTCTACGCAAGCCAACGGAGACATCAAGGAGTAAAGAAAAGCAGGGAAAAATAAATGGGAAGACAACAACACCCAGTCTACGTTGGCCAATGGAGACGTCAAGGAGGGCCCAAGATGGAACCAACACCAAAGCTGGGGACCTGTTTTGAAGTGGGTCTTTTTTTGGGGGGGTTTGTTGCACTGAGAGCAAGGACAAGAAGAGCAGGAAGGAGAGAAGCAACAAGTGCTGGGAGTGATGCTGCAGTATTCCGTGAATATCCAGTGCCAGAGTGAGTCCGTATGGAGATGCCGGCGCACGGTCAAGCCACCATGCTCGTTGATGGGACAATGTGCACAGACCTGGCCCATTTATGGTCTCCAGGCCCCATAAAAACTTGTTTTTTTCTCATGTTTTCCCACTTTCCGGCCAGAGGGAGGTCAGAGAACTGGGAAGACRGGGAAAACCTAGCAGGGTGAAGGCATTTTGGTGGAAAGGGAGGGGAAACGTGGCAATGAAGAAGGAAGGAAGGATCCACCCTACTCATYTGAAGCTTTTAATGGCCTATTACAGGAGACCATAAAGAGCCAACGCTCTCCTTTACTCATCATCGTTTTATTCCCCCTAAATCAGGCTTCCTTTCCAAACAGTAGCTTCTTAAGGAGGAAATATAAAAGGAAAACGGGAGAATCCTTGGAAAAAAATCCCTTCAATGACTTATCCTACCTTATTGTAGATGTAGCAATTTGTAAACATGGTATTAAAGTCCTGGATACATTCCTGGGCGTTCCAGTAGTAGTTATTCTCCAAGCGCTTCTTGATTGTTCCCATGTCCATAGGGGTTTTAATRATCTTATAATAATCCTGAAAAAGGGCAGAAAGGGGGGAAAAAGTGAGGAAAAACAGCACCAAAAAGCCCCGGTGACCCAAAATTAATGATTTTGGGCTCCATGGAGCAAATGGTTCCCACCTTGAATGTGGTCATCAAGGAGAGGAGATTGACTGCAGCCCTTTGATGCCTCCTGCTAAAGGAGGATTCTTCCTATTTCTAGGAATTTGGGGTTTTTAGGMATGGCGAGCTGAAAGGGCCTCAAATGCTGTTGCTATAGAGGCTCTCAAGGTGTCACCAGGAGGTTGTTGCTCTGCCAAGGAAAGCTACAGCCTCACACAGGCGGAACAGACTGTATATGATGGCTTCAAAACAGGGGTTATCATCAAACAGCCCATGGCAMAGAAGGCCCAGCTCTCCACCCATGGTAGCTCAAGGAGAGGAAGGACCAGAGCAAATCTCCTCTCCTCATCACACTTGGAAGCCCCCAAAGCCAGATAACCCCCAGAAAAGACRTTTCCATTGTCTATAGCATTAAATTATCCCTGAATTTCCCTCTGATTTTCTCCTAGCTGCCTTGGTTTGAGCTCCTGGGTCTTCCTCCAACTCCACCTGGGGCTAGGTGAATGTGGAGATGGTCAAGACTCAACCCTCTTGTTGAGTCTTGACCCTCCAAAACTCTACTTGAACCCTCCCAGATGTTCCCTACTTGAACCCTCCCAGATGTTCCCTCCTCGTCCCTAGTTTCTCCCAAGGATTGGACATTTCCAAAGCAGGGGAGACAGAAGCTTTTGCTGGACATCAAAGTGGAGTGAGTTGAGGAGGTCGAGCTCCTCTCTCCACCTCTACTTACAGGGAGGTTCAGCTTGACAGCATCCACGGGCTGCTGGAAAGGCCACGCGAACTGGTGCTTCCATAGCGTCTTGAGCACCACCTTGAGCAGATACTGCAGCTGGTTGGTCTGGCGCTTGGGCTTGTTGGGGTTGGAGGTCTCGGGCGGCGGCGGGTTGACGCCCACCACGGTGCCGCCCTGCTGCGCTTGGGCCTGCGCCTGCGGCGTCGACATCTGGGTGGCCTCGAGCCCGTCGCCCATCACCGGCAGGTTTCTCAGCCTCGTGCCGGGGCCGCTCTCCGCAGACATGCTAGTGATCCCATTGCATTCCTCACCGGATACCCTGTGGACGAAGAGACCACGTCAAGAGAGGGCTCTGAGGACACGAGAATCCAGCACGAGGTCTCGCTCGGCTACGCCGGCTCTGTCGGCGTTGCCAGATCCGGAATCCAAAGGGGATATTCCGTGGCCAGTGCCCCTTCCAACCCCRGTCCTTGCCTAGATCCCACCAAGGGAATTCAAAACTGGGCCCAGCTCCTCAAAACGTTCTCAAGAACTTCCCTCCCACGTCCCAAATGAAGAAATAACCCGGCAAAACCCATTTTTCCCATTTTCTACATAATTTCTCGGTGACATCCCTGCGCTGCGCAAAAGAGGGACCCACTTTAGGGGTGTCCTTCGCACAACAGAAGTATCCCAAAGACCAGAAAGTTGGGAAAAAACCATCCAAGCTGCTCCTGGAGCAGAGTTTTTATGGGTTTAACAGAGACAAGACGAGGCAACGCTTCGAAGACGCAACTGCCCGAGTTGAACCAAATTCTGGGCTGAGTCTCCAAGATTTAGGAGTCCTCGGTCAGCCGTTGAGAAATGGCCCCGGGCCATTTTTGGGGGGCTTTTTAAGCGTGGTCAACCCGCGAACATAGAGGTTAGACSGAGAAAAGGAACGAAGCGCTCGCTGGAAGCCTGAGGTTTCCTTGTGGCCGTTATCTCCGGTTATTCCCTGGGTCGGGAGACGGGTCCCGAGATTAAAAGCGAAGGCGGGAAAAACGCACGGCGGGGTGGTTTCGAGCTGCTCGACCCTCAAATTGTGATTTTTGCAGAGGTTTCGGCTCTGGATTTGTGAGGATTGTGTCGGGGCTGCTCCCTCCCCGTCCCCCCGAAGAAACCTCATGGATTTKGGGGCGCAATTGGGGTTTCCTGCTGGTAAACTCCCCCCTGGGCTCACTCCTGGTGGGTGGCGAGGCCGGCCTCGCTCCCTCGGCCTCCCTTGGGGCTACGTTACCTTGTAGGATACATTGCCATTTAATTTTGCCCCAGCCAAGGACGCGGCGTCAGAAGTTGCTTGGCTTGTCCATCTATCTTCCGCGGCTCCAGGCGCGGACGCCTTTAGACACCGTTATCTGACGGATGAAACGAACAAAGCAATTAATCTGAGGCATCGCAAACGAGGGCGACCACCAAAAATCGCCTTTTTTTTTTAATTTTTCTTTTTGTTTTTAATTCCCTCTTTAGCCCAATCGTCTCCCTTTGGGGCTTCGGCCAGAGGGAAACAGGGGCGTCGAGGGGCTGGGGCTCCCGTGGGATTTGCTCCCCTTTGGGGAAAGGTCTTTCCTGCAAAAGGGGRGCCAAGGGGCATCCGAGGGGCAAGGAGACCACCCCATGGCTGCTTGGAGGGCATCCCGTGCCACTTAAGAGCCTGAATACCAACCTAGGTATTTAAAGATACCCCTTAAGATCCTTAAGATCCACTCAAGAGCCTAAATATCCAGCTAGGTATTTTAAATCCCCCTTAAGATCCTTAAGATCCACTTCAGATCCTAAATACCCAGCTAGGTATTTAAAGATCCTGCTTAAGATCCTTAAGATCCACTTAAGATCCCTAAGACTCAGCTAGGATTTAAAGATCCCCCKTAAGATCCACTTAAGATCCTAAATACTCAGCTAGGGATTTAAAGATCCCCCTTAAGATCCACCTAAGATCCTAAACACCCAGCTAGGTATTTCAAGATCCCACTTAAGATCCTCAGGATCCACTTAAGATCCTCAGGATCCACTTAAGATCCTCAGGATCCACTTAAGATCCTCAATACTCAGCTAGGGATTTAAAGATCTTACTTATGATCTTAAATACCCAGCTAGATTCTCTTAAGCTACCCTTAAGATGCTCTTAAGATCCTAGATTCCCGACCTCCCGCACCCATCGCTGTGGGCTCATCCCTTTGGAGGGATCCATCCGTCCCTTGGGTTTCGGGTCCTTTTCTAACAACCCACCGGATAATTTCTAAATCCCACTGGATAATTCCCAAATCCCTGAGCTCCATCCGCGTGGGTTTGAGCTGCAAAGGCCACTTGGGTGCTCCTCATCTTTGGGAGGATGAATTCCAAGAGGAATGGGAATATCGCGGATCGGAGCGTGGAATGGACATCCCGGAGACATCCGGAAGAGCCAGACACCAGGAAACCTCCTGGGAAAGAGGAGGTTGGAGGACGGGATGGATGGGGTCAACCATGGCCTAGGAGCCTCCGACCAACAAGACAAGGGAAGGAAAAGGAGCCTCGTGCGGCGACTTTGTGGGAAGCTCCTACCGTTCCGATGGGAAAACCTATCCTGGATGGGTTCCCTTCCCTTCCTCTGCATGGATCCGGTTACCGGGAAAGGTCCAGCAGGATCCATGAGGGTCCAGAAGAAGGGAAGAAGATCCCTCTTCATCACCAACGCGCACCCAAGAAAACTTCCAAGTGATGCTGCCTGCATTTCTCTGGGTCTTTTTGGGCAGACCCGTGTGTTTCCACTGGGAAAATCCCAATGATTCCAGCTCCAGGGAAGAGCCAGGGAGTTGCATGGGAGCTGTTGGGCTCCGGCGGTTTTCCAGGCGGGAAGGACGGGCTGTAATGCAGCAAAGGGGCCGGCAGAGGGTAGTGCCAGGCCGTGCGGAGGAAGGGCTGGATCCAAGGCCTTGGAAAAGCAGTGCCAGGAGCAGAAGAACCAGGAAAAAGGACAAACTGGTCAAAAAAACACGGAAAAACGCTTCCCGGAGAGCAAAGTGGAGCCAAGCGGCAACATCTTTCCCCAAAATCATTATAAAGTGACCCAAAATAATGCAGAGAAATGAGAAGGGTCTGGTTGGTGTCACCCATGAGGTGAAGGGTCTGATTTATCCCAAGAAAAGGAGTAATTTTTTATAATAGGGATAACAGGCAGTGTTTTGAAGTCGGAAAATGGCCCCTCTCGAGGAAGGGGCTGGGAATTCTGCTGGGAATTTTATGCCAAGCTCCATCAATACATTGGTCAATGCAGAGCTTGGGATCCCAAAGATCACCTCCATTCCCAGGAAAACCTTGGAGAAGGGTCTGGCTTTCTATTAAAAAGCAGGAAAAAGATAAAAATCCAGGAAAGGAGGCTGCTCCTTTCCTATATTTCCCGCTCCAGGGTATCGCTCCCTAAGCGGAGGCCGCATCCGCCTCAATTTTATCCACGTGGAGGCTGAAAGTGGAGGAAATTCCTACCAAAACGGTGGATTGAACTACCGGATTTGCCATCCCGGTCACAAATCCTTTTCTCCGGGATCCGGACGCGCCGCCTGTTCGGAGCCGGAGAGCGATGCCCATCCGGAGCCAAGATCTAGGCACAATCCTACGGGGATGGTTCACAGCAGGTCCGAGCTCCTTATTTAAATCCATAGGGATAAAATCCACAAGCCGCGAGCCTCTTTGCAGCCCAAGCGCCCCAAAATCTTCATTATCCCACCCAAAAAGGAGACTTCCAGAGGTTTCCTTAGAGCCAACTTGCTGGGGGAYGTTATAACCGAGCCTTAATACAACCTTATATTTATATAATCTTATATATACTTTACATAACGTTAATCCTCGGAGCTCGCGCGCTCCGGATGCCGGGAGACGYGGGATTCCCGCATCCGAGGATACTGAAAACTTCAGATTTTGCTTATTTTTCCCCTATTTTTAGCTTCCCTGACTCAATATGCTCCTTTTTGCCCTTTAATACGAAACCTGAAGTCGCACCTAAAATAAAAYCAGAGCTTGACACTTCTTATCAGAAAAAAAAAATGCTCCTTGGACGTTTTATCAGCTTTTTTCCCCAATTTTTGCCTCAAAAAGTGACATTATTTTATGTTTACAGCTAAATCGGATCCGCTTTRTGCCCACATGTGGTTAATTCACCCGACAGGAGCCGTTTCCACCGAGAACGAGCCAGAAACCGAAAATATTTGCGAGCGGCGACGGTGCAAAACTACCAGGACCCTCTCTTGACCTTAAGATCGGATTAATTTAATTTATTTCACATGAATTTGCCTTTTTCCACGTGAATTTGCTCCCCAGATTCAACCCCAACAACGGACCGCGCGAGACGGGAGCGTTCGGGACGACGGGATTCGGAAAACCGGGCAGTTTTGGAGCCACAGCACCAAATTTAAGCGTTTTTACCCATTTTTCCACAAGAGATTTTGGAAAAGCAGGCCCGTATTGTCCGGGTTGTATCTGCAATCATAAAAATCCCTCAATAAATAAATGTATTTGCCGCCCTGCAGCCTTGCTGTGACATTCAGGGGCTGCAAAACCAAATTTTAGACGAAAATGTGAAATAACAGCTGCGTATTTGGGCTTTTTCGACCCAAGGATTTTGTGGCACGCTCCGAGGACCAAATCTTTTCGGAAAAAAAGGAGTTTGCTACATAAAGACGCCCCCAAACCATGCAGAAATCCTATTTTCTGGAGTTTCATCCATCAGAATCCAAACTCTCCGGATGGGGCAGTTGAAAGGACCTCCAAGATCAAATTATCAAAGTCAACGACAGCCYTTGGTCCATCCAGAGGCTCACGGAGGATCCGAACGACGCGTAAATATAACCATATACGAACCATATATATGTGCACCGAAGGAAACCAATGAGCTGGGCTCAAAAACCAGCCAAATTCACCCTAAAAAAGCTCTCGAGAAGTTTGGCAGCTGTTTTGTTGCTGCCACTGGGATGGGTCTTTTGTTTTCCAGTCGTAACGTGGGAAAAATAGCRCATTTTTGGCGACAATCAGCACAAAATGACCCAAAATAGGGGCATAAATGGCCCCTCGTCACCCCAAAAGGCGCCACGATAATTACCTGAAATCAGAACGTCCTTTGGGACGTTTTCAGCAGCCGAGGCCTCCGCCCGTCATTTTCAAAGCCACTGGGTGAAAGAAATACCTGCAAGGAGAAGAAAAATCACGTGAGAATTATAATTTGCCAAAAACACCCGAGATTTCAGTCGTTCTTCCCAAGTTTTTGCCTCCCAGGTCTCGAGAAACGAAGGGAATTCGCTGCAGGCGACGGCGTGTGGAAATGAGAGGCCGGGTTGGGAGCGACCTGCTTAGCGGCTCCGGATAATTTGAGGCTTTTCCTCTAGGAAATGGGTGGAAAATTGTCCTGGATGCACCTGAGTCACCCTGAAGACTCGTTATTCCCTGCGAGCAATAAATACCCGAGGTCTCCGGTCTAAGCCGGGTGTTTTTCCGAGCTTGGGGAAGACGGATATCAAAGCAAAGCTGAGCAAAACCAGGCCCAAGTGCATTAAGTCAACRCTAAATACTCAACTTTACGGCTTGTAACCTAAACCTGGAGCAACCTATGGGGAGATAAATCCCCCCCAGAGTTAAAAAACACCCRTATTTCACATTTCTACCCGCGTTTACAGTCCTTCGTCACCCATTCCAGCCACTTTGGGTGCTGCTACRGAGTCTAAACCTGAAAATGAAGTCGAATCCAGCAATAACTTAATGTAAAATATCAGTAACGTAAAGCACGGATTTAATTTTAAGGGTTTTTTTTGCAATTTTTTCTCTGCTGATTCACATCAGCGACAGCTTCTAAAACACAAAGAACTTTTTCCCCCTCCGTCTCTTTGGTTCCCAAAGCCCAAACCACCTGCTGGGAGAAATAAGCTTAAAAACACCCGCTTTGGAGGCAGATTTACGGGTAAAAAAACACCCAAGCTGGAAATTTGTGATTTCTGAGGAGAATTTTGGGGTTTTGCTCCCTTTTTGCCTGGGAAATAGAAGGAGGGAATGACCGGGAATGGCTCCCGGGGTTGGCGGTCGCTAATGTGGAGAGGGGAAGGACCCAGTTGGGATTAAACGCGTGTGGACAAGTCGGGACTAAATAAACAGAAGCAAAATAAATGAGATCTCCTTGTTTTTGGAAGGGGCACGGTTGAGCAAACAGGGCGCGTGAGCGGCAAGCGGCTGCTGAAACCCAGGGACAGCGCTGCGGTGCAAAAGGGTTGGAATAACTTGCTTTTAAAGGGGAAAAAATCAGGAATTGAGGTTATTATCCCAGGGCAAGGGGGAAAAAATACGGAAAAATCATCCCAAGGTAAGGAAAAAAATGGCTCTATGTGAGCAGGGGGACGAAGACGACGTGACAGCCGGCTTTGCTTTGATGCTGCAACTTTCCTATGACAGGAGAGGAGAAAAAGGCATCCAAGTCCTGTAGGAAAGCCAAATTCCGGCAGATTTGCCTGGAAAATTCATGGGAACTCCATGAAAATGGAGATTTGTAGAGCCTGGGCGAGGTCACGTAGCTCCGGTCGCCTCCAATGCGTTCCCGGGCTCCCGTTTCCGTGCCCGAGACGAAGGGAATCCTGCCTGGACTCGCTTTTTCCCAGCAACGGTGATGTTTTCCCRGCGGGGACGTTGCCGCGCGGGTGTTTCCGCAATTCCAGAAGCAGGAAAAGTTGGGAGCTGCGTCCAGGTCGTGCAACGGGGGAGCAGGAGGACCCTCCAAGAAGCCGCTTGAGCCGCTTCCAAGGAGGAAAGAGGAGCCTCCAAGGAGCCTCTTCCGAGCGGGACAAGGGACACGATCCGGACGGAGGTCACGGATAGGAGGGCTGCTGATTCCGGAGGCTCCGCGGGACGGCAGAGCCGCCTCGGCTCCGCTTCCAAGGCCAAAGAGGCTCCACGAGCGGCCCAGAACGGGCAGGCGTTGGCCTAAAAAAGTTGTATTTTGTCTAGGGATGCTTATCTCCAAAGAGGGTCGTTCCAGCAAGCCAAGGCTGCTCCTTARGATCCATCTGGGAAGGTGGTTTGGACAGCAAAAGATGCAGGATTTTCCCCATGGTGTGTTAGGATTTTACAAGCCCATTGCCAACATCCATTTAGTGCAAAACAGCCCCAAAAATTAACAGCTGAAATTTCATAATGTGTAAGTTGGTCTTAAAGCCTGTTTCCTGGCGTTAAAAAAACAAAAAAGGGGCAAAATGAGGTTTCTTTAAGGGGCTTTTCCCCACCTGAAGTCCAAGGAAGGGAGAAAAGGTTGGGACAAAACCACAAGGCGCTAAGTGGTGCTCGCTGCTCCTCTATATCCYGCATCCGAGTGGTTCCGTGGCTCCCAAATCCAAGCTGGACACAACCTCTGCACGAGCATCCTCAATACTCATCCTTGCCGTTGGATAACGGAGTCCGGCGCCAACGGAGATCTATTTGGAGCCTCAAGCTGCTTCCGATGTGAATCTGGAGTGAAAACCRGAGGAATTAGCTCGGGAATACGGGCCCAGCGTCAACAGGAGCAGTTATCTGGGATGACGAGGAAGCGACGGCTTCGGCTCCACGGAGAGGAAAGCGGCAGGATCGGCGCGTTCCAGGCAAGCGGAAAGCCAAAAACTGGGTCCGTGGGCAGCTCYGAATTCTTTCCCTTCGCCCAAAGCGGTTTGGGAAGCGGAGCAGGGCACCCATGCTGCGTCATGAGCTGCTTGGGTGACTCGAATTTTCCCTGGAAAGGCACGGAAAAATGCGTCCTTTTGGGTAGGCAAAGCATCCCAAGAAGATGAAATTATCCAGCGTGGAAACGCTCCCGTTAATCCTTACGCTCCCGTTAATCCTGGAACAAAACTGCTCGTTTCAAGCTGAATTCCCTTGGACCGAAGCTCTGGTGTCTCTTGATCAGAGAACTCAATGTGAGGGAAAACGGGTGGGTAAAAGTCCACGTTAAACGGGCTGAAAAGCCCCAGAACCAGCTCAGTGTTTCAGCTCAAGCTCCAACACTTTGGAAGTTCAACCACAAACCCCCTCCAGAGCCCAAATTAGGCCAAGTTTGGTCCCTTGAACCATCAGACCTTAATTTTCAGCAATTTGGTGGCATGGAGAGGGCCTCCAAGACCTTCCCGTGTCCTTGCCCAAGCTTCTGACCTCTAGTTGAGCAAGGGACAAGGCGAACGCGCTGCGTCGATGGACTTGCTCAATCCTGGGAGTTTTGCCCCCAAATTCAATACGCCGATTATTTGACTTTGGAATAAAGTCCACCTTAACGCAAGACTCGGAGCGGCCGGTGCAGCGATTTCCAAGATATCCGAGCGGAAAATAAAGGAGCCCGAGGCCCTAAACGCGCGTCCTCAGCACGCAGAAACAGTGAAAAAAAGAGAAAAATAAGGCAAAAGAATCAACTCGCCACCGATTTTCCCCTTTTGCAGCTCAAATCCTAATTATCCTCTTTACTATCAGTATGTGCAACGTAAAACAGGGCTCAGCTTGGAAAAGACTGCTAAAAATCCAGCACTTTCAAGAACCACCACGGCCCTCAGCACCAGCTCGATGCAATTCTTTGTTCCTGTGCAAAACAAATCAGAAAGCACCAAAATTTTGCCGTTTTCAGTAAGAAAGCACCAAAATTTTGCCGTTTTCAGTAAGAAAGCACCAAAATTTTGCCGTTTTCAGTAAGAAAGCACCAAAATTTTGCCGTTTTCGGCTGGAATTTTCCCCTGGCTGGAGCAACGCTGGGCCAAGGGTCTGCAAATAAGCAGCTGGCAACAGGTCAGGGGCGTTTGGCAACGGGCGCTTCCCAATCCATTTCTCTCCTCTCCCAGCGCTTCCGTGGCTCCGAGTGACTCCCTGGGCAAAAGAGGGATTCAAAATAGGGGGATAATAGGAGGGAAAAATAAAGGAATAAAGAAAAATGGGGATCTGGTTGCAATTTTGCCCCTACGCTTGTGATGGGTTGATGCATTTAATGTGGCAGTGGCCACGTTGAGCTAGTAGGGAAGACAACAAGGCCGGAATTCCCATGTTTTTTATCAATCCATTAAATTCCCCGGGAGCGACTCGTGCTACCTGTAAGAGAGCCCTGGGTTTAGCCTTAAGGGCAGGGGAAAATTGGGGTTTTCAAGGTGGATCTTGGCATCCYGGTGGAAACCTGGAGGGAAATTCAAAGAGGGAGGCCAGGAGCAACCTTTGGACGAGCCCTTTGCACTCCCAACCACGTCGGGATCGGCGCTAGATCCRTAAAATCCAGATCACAAACACCAGCTTTGCCAACGCTCTGTGTTAGAAAGACGATACCGTCGAAACACGTTTGCCACCGGGCAGGTTTTGCTGCCCGGGTGTTTCCTGGCACAGATATTGAGCATTTTGCAATGGAAAATCCGAAGAAAAAYTGCACCAAGTGTTTAAAATTATATTAAGTTATAGCATCATGATAATGCTGATATGTTATCAGTCGCCTTGCTGCTGATTAAGCACTCACAAAGCCAGCCCTAGTGCTTGATCCTGGTGGAGAATCCGGCAGGATTCCGCTGCCACAACTACCTTTTCTTGGGATCATGGGACCGGCCGCATAAAACAGGGATAAAACCACCAAGTCTGGATCACCACACTGTGGCCCGAGCTCTTTACACTCGTTTTGCTTAAATAAACGAGAATTTGGAAGTKGAAGGGATTCCTTCCTTCCTGTTAACCCCCTGTTAACGTTAGTCCGGCGCCCAACAGTTCAAGCGAGCTTTAAATAGGATTTTAATTAGCGAGTGGGAAAGTGATTCAAGTTCCTAAGTGCCTCTGCCCCCCATATCTCTGCTATTAAACTTTAAAGGCCGCCACGCCGACGGGCCGTAATTAAAACGCGTTGCCGCGATACCCGAGAAGCTCCGTTTGTTTAAACGCATAATTGCTTAATTACGCGCGGGTTCATTTAGCATCATGGGGATGGAGGCGCAGAGGTCAAGTCGTCCCGTTTGGAGATAAATTGGGATTTGATTCTTCCTGGATTGGTATTTTTGAGGCTCTTTTTCCGCGCCACCACGTGGCCCGAGCGAGGCCCGAGGGTGATCTCTGTGACTGCGCAGGGTTAAAATATGTAATTTTTGTGGCGACATAATGCACAAATAACGCAAATAATGCACAAATAGCACAAATAACGCACAAATAAGAACTCCTGCKGCTCCTCAGGAGTTGGATGGCTCACTTAAAAGCTCCAGCTCCGGTCGATGGGATAAGGGAAACCCRCGAGGAGCTGATGCTCCCTCACTCATCACTCTTAGATCTATAATTACCTTTTTTTCATAAGCTATTTTAGATCAAGGAATAAGATTGCCATGTTTCAGCGAGGAAAAAGAACGGAGTTTCAGTAATTTTATAAACCTAAACACGGCTTTTGCTGCTATCCCGTTAAATCCAACGTTTCTTAGATGGGCTTTCTAAAAATCCAATGTTTCTTAGATGGGATTTCTACGCACGCGTGGGAGGAGCGGCGCATCTGCAAACAAAATTAAGAAATGCTACTTATTCTACTTGAAAAAAGACCTAAAAACTACTGTTTGAAGGCAGCAAAGGCACCTGAGCCCGTCGGATTTCCCGTTTCCGGGCTCTCGCCGCGAAAGTTTCCGATTTCAGGATGTTCGCCCGACTTTCGCCCGCTCCCGAGTGGTTCCTGTTTTGGGTTATTTATTTATTTATTAAAGGCTGGGTCTGTGTTATTTTTGCTCCTCCTTTAGGTGTTGGAACGGGAGCGGCCAATGGAGCCGGGAGCGTTTTTGGGAATGTTATAATTAGGAACACGGTGATTTTGGGAATGTTATAATTAGGAATAGGGCGATACGGAGGCAGCCACAAGCGGCGAGCGCGTTTCCCCCCAAATGGTATAAACAGTAAGAAAGTCACTCAAATCGCCCAAAATAAAAAGAATTAAAGGGGGGAAATAAACAGAAAGCAAATATCAGTTCTCAAGAGCAAAAGCAACAACACGAAGCGACTTCACAGCACGCGGGCAGCTCCGAAATCCTCGCGACCAAATTATTTCAGGATGAGGACCAAATTATTTCAGGATCAGGAACGATTTGACCCAAGATACACACTTGGATTTTCCTCCACCTGCAAATTAAGGAGTCACCGCAGGACAAATCCGCGCCCGGAGAAGTCTGGGGTTGCACAAGCGACACCAAACGGATGCGAGAACCAAAACAGATTTTGCATTTTTGTGCCCTCCTATCCCTTTCCTAACCGGATGACAGATATTTTGGGTTCTTATTTAGACACAATCTCTCAAGCCAAAGAGAAACGCGTGGCTCTAACTCAGGGCATGGAGACACCGACACCAAGGCAGCTTTGCCATGGATCGAGGAACGAGGAAGAAAAATGGGAATGAGACGCCGCTTCCGGAAGCACAAACTCATTTTGCACCAAAACTCTTCTAAMTCCTCTCGGGTGTCAAAGCACCGGGCAAGAAATGGCTGCTGGTAGGTGCCAAAAAGCAGCATCAGTCCAATTTTCCCCCAAAACAGCCCAACAACTGACCCAAAACGACCTTTTGGTGTTTTCTTGCCAAAAGCCCACTCCAAAGGACGCCTTTTTTTAGCAATGCGGAGCTCTCCAAAGTCTTTCCCTAAGTCGCTGTTTAAGAAAAGCCAAGACATTGGGCTCGGCTTAAAGAAAAGGCGACGGGTTCTAGGAACAACTCGCCCACCAGGAATCGCTGCATCAGAGCGAGAGGAAAGCAAAATTTGTTGCAGTTGATGCCATTTAGGGTTGTAGTGGATCCCACGTCCTTCTTCCTGGATAATCCCATGTGGAATTATCCGCTGCTCGGCGCCCAAAGCGTTAAAACGAGCCCGCTCCTCCTTATCAGCACCAGGTCTTAATCCCAGCCAGGTTAGTCCCTAATCTTATTTCCACATCCTTCCGACAGGTAAAACAAAAAGGTTTCCAAGGAACGAGCGGGGCGAATTCAATCCYGGGGCGTCATCCGCACAACGCCGCGAGCGCTCGGGATAAATGAGCGGCATTCCCGGGACTCGATGCCTCCTTCTGGGAGAGCCAATGTTTTCTTCCACTCTTTCCCACTTCCAAGATGCGATTCATCCTTTGGAGCTGAGTCAGACCGGAGGCGAGCGGGGAGCTCGGCTGTTATGGTTCATTTTCCTTCGCTGCATCCCTCCCTATACATATATATATATATATATATATATGCACACACACATATGGGTGTTAATGTATATTCACCAGCTCCTGGTCTCCTTCCCGTCGTGTTCCTTCCTCCACGTTACTGCCAGGAGCTTCCCCTGCGTCGTCCGAGAGTTCAATTCGTTTTGGTGCCAAAAACACCCAAATGTGTCAAGCGCCGGGAGGCGACGAGGACGAAACGAGGCGGCTCTTCCCGGCACTCCCAGCGGTCGAATCCCCTCGGATTTAGCTGTGGAATTGCAAGCCGGACACCTCGCCGTCTTCCGAAGGGAGAGGCGTTTGGATTTCCCCAAAGAGCAAGGTGGAATATTTTCCTGCAAACAAATGGTTGACATTCTTGAATCCTCTCCAAGGAGGCTTTGCCAGCAGATAATTACCGGACCAAAAGTTGACTCCGAGGAATTTTTTTATTCCAAAATATCGAGGAAGTCGGACCCCGTACGGAGAAGCGCCCTCCAACCAAGTGGGGAGGCCTGAAAATAACTCACCGAGAGGGAACGAGGCATCGGAGCGACTCAGCCGCTGGAATGAGCCTGTTTGCGAGGGAAAAAGATGCATTTCTGCTCGCTGGAATCTGCATTTTCCTCCCCAAAAAGGGATTTCTGCTCCAGATCGGGCTGCCGCCAAGAGCAACTTAGCTAACGATTTACAACCGCTATCGGCGTTAATCACCCGGGGGGCGCGTTGGATTCCAGCGCTGCTTCTCCTGATGGTTTAAAGACATTTAAAGGCCCCCGGTTCACGACAGAAAAGGGCTCAGGATGGGTTTGAATTCACGCCGCGCGGAGTCAAACGGTAAAAACCCTCAAAACCCCCCCAAAATGTCTGTGTTTGGGCCCTGCAAACACTTAACGTCGGTCGTCGCTTCGCCCGGCRGCGACTGCGGACACCACAAAGTTAGAGCCGCCTTTAAGCACCGAGAGGGAATTGAATTTTTGATATTTAATTATTATTACTTGGCGAAGCCATTGAGCTCCGTTCTGGCCTAGTTACCCCGAAAGTTGGGAAGAGAAGTATAAATAAAGCCAAMAACAAGTTTTAATCAAAGTCAGCGCATCCGAAATTAAGACCAAGCCTCTGGGAAACAACTAAATGTGTTTTAAGTCGCTCAAACCGCTCTGAGACTGCAAAGATGATGAAAATAATGGTAATAAAAGCCAATAATTGGGGATTTTGGAACAGCAGCCCCGCAGCAGGGGCTTCTTGTCCAGCTCCGGGCCATCGGCCTCACTCTTTGCTGACTCCTAAAGCGTCGCGTCCATAAAGGTCCGTTACGAACTATGCATTTGTCAGCTTAATTCTTTACATCCCATTGTAAAGAATTCCCATCTCGGACAAGGCGGGGGGAAAAAAATCATCCCACACAAGCAGCGGCGCCGCCTCCGTTTGGGTTCAACCATAAACYACCTGGTAAAAGCAAATAATTATTTCAGCGGCAACTTTAACGAGGGATTTTGTTTTCCATCTTCTCGGGATTCTTCCCGTGAAACGCGGCTTCCGTCAGGCGGCCGGATCGGCGGAAGCTCCGGCTGTTGCTTAGCTACAATCGCTCAGCTTGCAGCAGCAAAATAAATGCAATAAAACAACAGGCGCAATAAGGTGTAATACACARCGCGTGGTTGCGTGGCTGTTCTTTGCGGCTGTTGTTGCCTCGCGGTGTCAACAGGCGCTCGGCGGCAACAGCCGGCGCTTTCAGGCGGACAGCGGAACAGCCGTTGCCGCCGGAACAACCCTCCGGCTGCCCAAAATCCCCCGGGAAAATGACTCACTCCGCAGCAAATCCCGGTTTTCCGGGCTACCGGCACGGAGCGTTTCTCCTTCCCACCCTTTCCCACGTTAAAAAAAAAAAAAAAAAAAAAAAAAAAGGAATAAAAAATCGGATTCCGAGCTTTTTTTTTTTTTCCCCCCCCCTCAAAGCTCTTCCGGATTCGGCGGGCGAGCTCTACAGACGGAAACAAACCCGAGAGGTTAACGGGGGGAAAAAAAATAAATAAATAAACAAAACTGATAAAAACACACACGGAAGTCGTGAGGCGGCCGCGGGGCGAGGGGGTGGCGGGTTAACTTGTGCGGTAACGGTGATTTTGTCGGCGAACCCGGAGCTCCGCCGCGGGGCAGGCCGCAAAGCCGCTCGGTGGGAAGGAAGCGCTAAAAGGCCCGACTCGGGGGCAGCAACGTGGGGGGGGGAAATGCGGTTTACGTGGGGAATATTGGGGAGAAACGGAGGAATTGCCGGTGCCAAGGGCAGCGGGCGCTGCCTCAAGGAGCCGCCGGGCCTGGGCGTCCCCCGC